TTTTTTTTTTTTTTTTTTTTTCTTTCTCTTCTTCTTCTTCTGTCTTCTCCCCTCGTGTAGCTGAGAGGAAGGAAAGGAAGAAAGAGAAGTAGTCAGCTCAAATGTGCCTCGCAGCGCTGCCGGGGCGCGGGGGCTTGGCTGGAAGGATCTAGTTTCCCTTCGGTGGCAGGAAAAGGAGCCACGGGAGGAGGCAGAGACGGACACACAGACATGCCCGTCCCGTCAGGCTGCTGGCTCCTTCTCCTCTGCCTCGCTGCCGCTGGCAAGCAGGTAAGGCTGGGAGCCGGCCGAGGGGGAGGTGGGTGTCGCATCCCTCCCGCAGGCTTGGTTTGCTCGTCCCGCTGCTCGGCATAATCGGCGAGGTGGGAGCCCGCGGCATCCCGCGGGGCTGGGCACAACAGCTTCGCCTGCCTTGCTCCCCGCTCCGCTCGTTTGGGTTTTGGTTTTGTTTTTATCCCAGCAACTCGTAAGCTTCTCTCGCTTCTGTAAAATCAAAGTGGTCCAAACCCAAAGTTGCAAAGGAAGCCAGGGGATCTGCAGGGAAAACAGCCTGTTTCTGCCCAGGGCAGGGTGTGAGAAACCAGAAAATATTTGCAGTGAGGTTGTTGAGGGATATAATTTGCATGTAGAGTAAAAATAAGGCAGACTCCACCCTACCGAACAGATTTATTCGAGAGAACGTGGGCACACTTGTTCTTCAGGTGTGGGACGCGGGGTTTTCGCAGCCCTGGCTCAGCTTTCCAGCTTCCCCACCGGGATGAATCCCCTCAGCTCTGGCCATCCCGCCGTCCCACATGTTGGCCCCGGGCCGTGGGACGCCCTTGTGACCCCAGGCCCACGAGTGGGAGGCTGAGGCTCAGGGCGGCCACATAACTCGCTCGGAGGCTGATGTGCTGCTCGTGGCACAGCCAGGAGCCCAACCCCGGTGCCAGGTCAGCTGCCCCCAGGGGCAGCCCTTTCCTCTGACGGGGGAAGATCTGAGAGAGGTTTGGCTCTGCGGTTGTTTGCAAACACAGCGTGCTCTGGTCGCAGCTCTGGGCGATGCCAGGTGGCTGCTGGTCAGCGCGGTACGCTCGGGATCGTGGCTGGTCTTCCCCTGCTGTCGGAAAGACCATTTTCTACAGCCAGCTCTTCCTCAGCCATGTGAATGGCGTACATCGCGTTTCCTCCAGCAGTTCACATCGGCAGAAGCTTGCTTCGCTCTTTCTAGTTATACAGCTTAAAAATTATCCTTCTCCCTTCCGATTATTTAGACCCTTCTAGACTGGCAGGATTTACAAATACCATGCTACCCTTTATTTACATTTTGTTTCCTTCATTAATCAATGTTTGGCAGCCTCTCTGCTATTTGTATTTCTTTCATCTGAACTTCTGGTATTTTTCTGTGTCTCATTATTCCTGATAAGTTATGTAACTTAAAGTTCTTCCCTCAACATGGGGCTGTAACCGGGCCATGGCTGGGTTCCCTGAGAGCAAGGTGCAGCTTCAAGAAAAAAAAAAGATAAAAAACCCAAACCAAAACAGAAAATCCTCTGCTGTCTACAGCTTACAATTTAATGTCTGACCGCACAGTCCTGAGAGCCTTTCCTTTGGATCCCTGGTCCTAAATATGTTGCCTAAAACCACACAGGCCTTTTTTTCCCCTCTAAAACATACGTTTTGTTTTGTCCACCCTCACTCTCAGGCTTCTCTGAAATCGCTGCTTTCCAGGTGTCCTCCATATGTATGTGCATGAGCTTGCAAATTTCAAAAGTGACTTTTACATCACAGCTTTCAGATGGTTTGTCCTGTCCCTCGGTATCCCCTGTGTCTCTCCTTTTTCCTGCCCTTGTGCTCAGGACTGATCAGTGCAGCAGGAAGAACAGACCTCAACGCTCTTCATACCTTTACTTCAGGTCACTAACCATTACATGCCTGCTTCCTTCTGGAGCCATTTGGGTTTAGTGCAGTTTTTCCCTTTGGAATATCCTCATTGCCTGGAACCGGCTCGGCTTTTGACCAAACCTTGGAAATTCAGATTTCTGTGGTATAGCTGCCGGCATGTTTCAGGTGCCCTGATGTAGGAGCCAGAGCTCCTCATCATTTCTCACTCTTGATTCATAGCCTTTCACAGGACACAGAACAAGGAACTTGTATTTATTTTGGGCTGATATGTAAAGTCTTTCCACTGAGTCCAACACGTGCTAAATTATGAGTCTGTGTTTGTACAGGGTGCAACTTTGCATCGCCGTTGCTTTGGACAAGTAGCAACACAAAACTGCAGGAAGCTCCAGGAAAGCTGTAGTGTAAGGATAAGGATAAAACATAACTTATCAAAGAGCCCATTAATTTAATACTCTGCTTCAACAGTGAGCAGAACCTACAAGAATGTGAAAGGCAAGCTTAGAGTGTTGCTCTGGAGCAGCCTTTCAGTTTCTCCTCATTTGTCTGACTGATTTGGGCAGTGGTTTCTTAGGAGACTGATGCTTTCTGATGGAACAAATGAGAAAATACCTCCCTATGTGGGAGGGTTGAGGTTTTTCTAATGCATTTGTGTTAGTTTAGACTGGTTAATAGGGTGTAATAGTGCTCGAACGGTGATATTTGCAATGTATTTCCTGCAAAGAATGAGAAGCATTTGGAAATGTAAGTTATTGCATACTCACTCATAATTCTGCTGAGAATAGACATGATCATTGTCATCATTTTCACCAAAGAGGAAATGGGAACAGAGAATTCGTGACCTGCTCTATGTCACACACCAAGCATGGAGCAGAACTTCTGGGAGCAGAGCTCAGCCCTGCTAATCTTGTGCTTCAACCACAAGATGATCTTTCCAAGTGATTCGTTGTGGGCACCTGTCCGGGGTATTTTGCCTTCTGGGGCATGCATAATCTGCTCAGCTTTCTTCTCACTGACTAGTCACATCCCTTTCCTTGCTTTATACCAGTAAAGAGTATCAGTGTGACTATCAGATGGAAGTCAAAGTCTCTGAAAATGTGCATTTGCAGATGTGCAGTAAATCAGTTGCACCACAGATTTATCTCCTCTTTTGTGGCATGATCCTTCCACTGCTCTGTAATATTCACTTCATAGATAAAGTTTGCTCATTGCAAGCATCTGGAATTCTTTGCAATATAGGAAAATTTTGGCCAAAATATAGATTTTTCTCTAACTTCCTAAAATGCACAATCTGTATGATAAGAGAGGGGGGAAAAAAGAATGTAACCATTACTATACTGTGTTACACCTTGGGCTCTCCTGGTCTATTATTCCTGTTTTGGACAGGGCCAAAGGAAGCATTCAGTAAAGCAAAACTTCTACAATATTTAATCTAAACTCCTGGATTTATTCTACCATTAACAGAGTGGGCTTCAAAGCTACTGTAATTAAAATAGTTAATTTTTAAAAATTCCCATACAGCAATGGTTCCTGTGAGGAACACTGGCAAGGCTTTCATTGTTCTGCAGTTTCCCCCAGAACATGTGAAAAATCTTACAGCACCTCATATCAACAGAATATGATGTATGTAAAACTACATCAACCCACAATTTAAGAAATCTGTCCCACTTCTCTTTTCATGTTAAGCATCATCTGCCTGATGTGATTTCTTCTTTCCCACCAACAGGACCAAAACAAACCTTGGCCACATTTCACAAGCTGGTAGAATGCAAAGCTTATCAGACATCTGGAGGGTACTGACCGATGTCATCTAGGTCACAGTGCTTTCTTCATGCTGTGTCAGAAGGAAAAAAAACGGAATAAACAGGTCAAGCAGAGATTAACTACATCTCTAAGCATCTTTCTTTTGTTTCTATTGCCCATCACTGTCTATTACCCTCAAGCTCAGAAAAGTGGGATGTAACTTGACAGCTGGGCAAGAACCAGTACAGATGGTAAAAGGGATGCGTGCGTAACTATGACATAGAAAATCATGGAAACCTCAAAGTGTTGTCCTCTAGCATTTATACTGTAACACTATTTAGAGGAATCATTCTTGAGTCACTTTGCCACATTTATCTGTGTGTCCCTAGGAGTTCAAGTGAAAGACTCTCCTGTAGTAGGTACATGCACAGATGCAAGGAAAAGGCAACGCTTGCTGCAAATCTGTCCTCCTGCTTCTCCCTGCCCACTTCCTCTCTGTATGACCAGGTCTCCAGGAAGTCTTTGTGGTGACCAGAGCCAAGAGGGTTCCTGCCACCACATGCTGTGACCACAGAATTCAGATCTCCCTCCGTGCTGCGCCCTGTGCTGCAAGGGATTGCTCTGCAGAGAAGGCTGCTGGACACTTAGGGGGAGAAGGTTGCACTGGGACCTGGTTACACAGGAGGGAAGGGGGAAACAGAAGATAGCTGGTTCATCGTGTTCTCAGCTGCAGCTCTGCTCCTTGCATAGACTGTCCCCTTCCTTTCCATGGAAACTCAGCTTCAAGGCAGCATTGGCTTCTGCTGCAGCCACACACTCCTGTTTTTAAGGATGCCTTGGTGTTGCTTGCACAGAGAAGCAGCTGCTCTGAGAATGGCTCATTATTGCTGATGCAGAACTCACAGGCAAATATTTGAATGTTATAACTGCAAGATAAAAAGTAAGTGATGTTTAACCAGGTTGCACTCTGGACTTGAGTAGGCCTTGGTCTGTGTGACACAATAGCCTGCCTGCAAGAACTTGCCCTTTTTTATGACTTACTCTTCTTTGAAAATGGTCCAAAGTTCATGTAGTAGAAAAAAACCTCTACAAGTAGCAATGGCTGGAAGTCACAGGGTGGGCTGCAGGTGGGAGTCCAGCTTTGCTGTTTTGTCTGCCCTGTGGGAGCAGGACTTGGTGTGACACTTCGCACTGGGGAAAGCAGGTTTCCTGATTTGTCCCTGTCTGTGTGTCACTGCAGTGTGCTGTCATATTTCTGATGGGGTGCCTTCTGGAGGGCTCAGCGCTGCACAGGAGGAACAATGCTGTCATCACCCTGGCACTCCAGGACATCCTGGTTTGTGTCCCATACCTGTGTAGACACCTAAGCTGCTTTGTGCAGGGCTTCCAATGGTTACCTCTTTTGTTTGCCATCTCAGGGTGTGAGTTCTCTGGGCATGGCTTTCTTGGGTGGTTGTGCAGTGCCCAGGATCTCATGGCTGCAAACGAAGCCAAAGAGTCATTAATCACCTTGGGATAGTGCCCCATTTGTTTCCCACCAAAGTCACAGGGAGGTCTGCCCACGCAGGCCCAGGAAGGGAGTGGATACGTTGCCCTGGCCAGATGCCACGGTGTAGGCTGCAGCACCCAGCCTTCACCCTTGTTCT